CTTCTGGACTGGCAGGGAGTCCACTGTCAGTAACTGCTCTTGAGGAGCATTTGTGTGAAGATACAGTTCAGCATCTCTGGTGTCCCCTCTGTTGGCAGTAGTAATGTTTCTCTGATTTCCAGATAATAATCTGGACTTAAAAAGCTAAAGCTCAGAGAAATCCTGCTTATTTAAACCATGAATCAGAAAAATTGTATTGAATAGTATTAGATAACTAACATAAACTTATTAATGCTCAGGCTTTATTGTAACTTCTCATCTTTAATTTCAACTATATTCAATGATACTTATCCAAAATCAGATTCGATAGTTGTGGATCTGAAGCACCTATGAAACACAGAAACCTTTACACTTCTGTCTCCTGTCCTCTGTTTTCCAGTTTGTTCCTTTTTCTAGCCGGTGCTCAAGCAATCAGTGGCTGAATTACGCAGACAAAACATTATGGTATTTAGATAAAAATAAGGTTGAGAGGAACTTGTTCTGTAAATCACCTCTTAGTAGTGCCCACGTGCAGTTGTCACTACCTGCTTGCAAAGGCAGTAGACACAGAGGCATAAAGGAAACTATTAGGAATTTGAATCATGTTCAAAACTGAGTTTTAAAGCAAAGGTATAACTAGCCCCCAAACACATCATTAAGGAATTGGAGAAAATTAATTCATTTGTTCACCATCTCAGTGACTATCGCATTACTTCACACAAAGAAATAGATCACAATGGTGCTGGTGAGAATTGTACATATTTTAATGTGTTAAAACCTGTGTCCTTGTGTAAAACCTGTGCTGCGTGCAGACATGCAGTTCAGTAGATTCCATTTTGTTTTACAGGATGCAATCAGGATGATGATTACTCAAGGCAACATGCAACTTCAGGAGCTTCAAAGAACACTTAAGCTGGCAAAATCTTGATCTTAATTGTGTTGACAGATGGACTTCGATCTGCTGTGAACTAAACCAGCATTTTTTCCAGAATGTGGTTGCAATAGCGGCCTTCGCTGACAACCTGGTAATGTTTGAGGGTAGGATCTACCACAGTGGGGTTTGTGATTGGTTTTTCCCTGTCCTCTTCTTGGTTTGGTCACCCTCCCGGGCAGAAATCACTCGGACACAAAGGACTTTTTAAACAACTGAATGGATGATGTAGCATGTGCTGCGGGAAAAGCAGAAAGCACCAAACATTACAACAGCAGGGTTATGCCAGGGAAATGGAAAATAAATATAAGGCAGATTCTTTTGTCTGTTTTCTGTTGTGGCAACTCTTAAGAGGTAACGTTCATAGTGGTAACAGCTCTTTCTCACTGTGCTGAGGATTTTTGCCAACATTTGGGGTTAAAGTAGTTGGGGTAAAGAAATGGGTGCAAAACAAACAAACATGATAAAACATTAAGAAAATGTTTTGTATTATTTAGATGCCAACTTTCAGTTGTCCCTGAATAAAACTGAAAAGGAGAATGAGAGATTTTAGAAATGGAAATGGTTATTACCAATTTAACAGGAAGCACCTTCAAGTTAGTATTTAGAAGTCAATATAAAGTAGAATTATAAATAGAAAATACTAACTGTGAATGTTTTGGTCTGTTTTTCCAAATGTCGTATTACCAGACTTTTAATTGTTAGCTTGCAATTGTTCTTACCTTCCTGTATATTGCAGTATCTTTTTGGGGTGGGTTTTTTTTTGTTTTTTTTTACCCTTGTATAATTTAAAAATGCTGATGTGAGTCTGCGATTTTCTCAACATAACTAGCGAGACAACAGCAGACACACACGGGACTATGCAGGAGCTGCGTAGAAGAGTGAGCCAGCCGGATGGCCTCACAGCAGCTCCGGTGGGTGCCACCACTGGGGCAAGGGATGGGACAGGGCGATGTTCCCCCTCCAGGCTGCAGGAGGGACTAGAGACCCCACTGGGGAGCAGGAACTACGCTGCTTGCCGGAGCCAGCAATGGGTGTTCAAAGCTACGTACTTCAGCTTTGCAAAAAGCTGCTGCTTGACAAGAAAGAAGGCCAGAGTTGTTTTCCTAATTCTTTTTCTGAAAGTGACTGCAGAATCCTTTCCTGTGATGTTTCTTTAGCTTTACAGTAAAGGATGTGACTCAGGCAACCAGTGAGGCTGTAAAAGCCTTTGAGCTTCTACATCAGTCAGTGAAAAATATGTATATCTAAATAGTTTGTTCAAAATCTAAAATTCGTTTATGTTTTCTGGTAGAATGCACTGACAGAACATAAGCGTGTTGGGGATTGATTTTTCATGTTACCAGAAAATGCTGTTTAGAAAGGAATTTTGACTAAACAAAGCCATCATCTGTGTCTGCTTGTTCTCACATGCAGCTTTCCCTTTCCCTTCAGCCAGTGGTTTGATTTCCGCTCCTTAATTAGGAGACTTTACCCTGCCGCCTCATGGCACTGCTTTCCATTCAGACCCCGAGCCTGCACTACTCCTGTGACTCCAGTTTGTACATTTCTAAGTTGTGGCCACATAATCCAGGACTAGGTCTCATCAGGCAGGGCCCTGGACAGCCGCTGATCTCCTCAGTGCTGCTGCCCATGATCTCCACGGCTTTGTGGGCTTCTCAGAATTGGGAAGGCTTCTTCCTAAAGAAGCCTTTAGGAGTCCATGTACAGTCTGCTAGGGTGAGTAAATCTACTTCAAGTGTGTGTTGCAGAGAAAGGGCGATAATACAGGTATGTTGTAAAGAAGTCCTTCAACTCTAGTAGTTCTGAAGGAGGGAGGACTACAGAGGGGAGTAGAAAGGAATTAGCAGAAAATGCCTCCCTTTATTTTACAGCGTGCTTGTTGGCTTCAGAAAACCTCTGAAATCAGCACTCTGCAACCAAGTGACTGTCTTAAATGACTACTCCCTTAGTTACCATCTTCAATTACTGCTCCAGTGGTGACCCTGGTAGCACAGTTTGTGAAGCAGATCAGCTAAAGCCACAGCCTCGCCCTTTCCCTTCTGCTTGTGCAAGCCCACGAGAGCGCCTGTGATCCGCTGCGCAACTCCACCCCAGGCCAGAAACTTCCGAAGCGTGCGTGCATCAGGTAACAAATGGCAGTCAGTCCCTGCAGCCTCCCTCGGGACAGGTGGTAAACCCGGATTCTGTGGTTTATAGCCACAAATACAAAAGCTTAAAAAGTCAAAAATCCCAATTTTCTGCTTCCTCTCCTGAGTCAAGTGAGGTGGATTTTTCTCCATTTTCTCTGGCTAGAAAACACTACACAACAGACTTCTGAGCAACACAGATCACTTCTGAGCAACGCTTATTTTAATTGCTTGGCAAAACATTCACTTGATCAAGATGATACAAAAACGGCATGCTTCTGCATTCCTACAGTAGCTTAAACAAAACTGTAAACGTATGAAAGTGTCTATATTAGACTACAGAAGTCAGAGCAATAAAACTAGTATTTCCATAACTGCGGATATATTTTTCTTGTCTTGATAGTGCATTAATAGGAACTTTAAAAATATTGTTATATAATACAATTTTCTTCACTTTATACATCAGCTAAGAAGATGAAAGCTTAATTACTAATTAGTCAATGGTGTCTTCAATACTGTGAAGTATTTTGTATTGATTTTAGGGCTCCTCAGTACAGGATAAAAATCTCTTTCTCCCTGGCATAACAGTACTATCCTGTGTTTGAATTGGTTTTGAACAATTGTTCCATCACAATCTGCTAAGTAAACTTACTTTTCTAACAGAACCTGATGGAGCCGCCTTAGAGGTTGAGGAGGAAACCCTAAAGGGGAGCAGATGAAACAAGTTACGGTGCTTCTAGTTGATTTGGAGTCTGTCAGCCTGGACCATGACATTGGTCCTTGGAAGTTTTGATTTTGTAACAAAAAACAGATCCATAAGAACTTTAAAATGTTGCTGAGTTCTATTTTGTGGGAGTGCTTGTGAAACCAGTCCTAAGACCTAAAGACTCACCAGAGCCCAGCCTCTCTTTTTAGAGATACAAGGTAAAACCAGAGAGGAATCACTCGGGGACAAAGGAAGACGGTCTGGACAAGGTGTCTGGGAGAAAAATCCTCCCTCTGCAGAAAAAGAAACATCTGACTTCAGGGAACCAAGCTTTCACTTCTTTAGATAAAAGACTTCAGTAGTAGAGAATTCAGCCATTTGCTGCTTGCAGGAAAAGAGAGTTATGTAAAAATTACACCTAACAAGCAGAGCATGGTTATGGTAAAATATTTGCCATCCGTGCCCTAAACAGAACTTTTCAGGCAGATTACTCAAGTACGGCCCCCAACAACCGTGTAACCACAAGGAGCTTTGCAACCAGAACACCAGTAAAACCAAGACAAAGCTAATTTAGTATTTGTTTTAATAACATAAAACCAAAAGACAAGCAAAGTGGCGACTGCAGCCTCCGTACCTAATGGGATGACTCACCTTAGCATCTCACTGCGTGGGCGCCTGGCCGCTCCCAGCGGGCAGCCTGCCCCTGGCACCTACACGGGCTTGTAGTTTGAGTTGGGTCTGTAGCTTCTCTCCACTGACTAGAGGGAGGCCATGGGGAGTATCTAAAATAGTATCGCTAGCCCTTCATCACTAAGGAATTTCTGTCAAAAGCTCTCAAACATCCTGGATTTGTTTCAGTATTGGTATCGCCACATGTTTACATGTAGCATACAGTGGAACCCTCTAGCCACACATGACCTGGGTGGAAGTAAGGAAATTCCCTTTTCAGAAAGCAATTTTGGTTTCTAATGCAGTTTGTTTTCAAGCAGCACCTGGAAATTGAGAGTGCAATATTTAACGGACTCTGGGAAATAACAAAGAAAGGATCTAATCTGCAGCATCTCGTTGTCATCAGTACGGTCTGCATATGAATTCTCCTTGGTTCTGGAGTTTACAAAGTTATTTCTACTCCTGAAAAAAGAGCATTTTGTTTGGATGTAACAGGCACTACAAATGTACATATTGGTATTCCAGATTCCTGTACAGCAGGTTCCAAAATGAGTCCCATTGCTTGTCTTCACCTCCTTGGTAGATGCTAGCTCTCTTTCTGCACCTTAGTCCTTAATTTGCTGAGCTCCTCTTCTAAGCTTTTAATGTGTTCCTTGAGCGCAGCTTTGTCTTGCTGCGCTTTCTGATTAGCTTGGCACCGGGCTTCTTCTATCTTCCGTTCGTACCACTTCTCCATCTGTGTGGAGACAGCCTCAAAGAAGTACTGTGTTATCTCCAGGGCCTGGGAGGTGTCTCTGAGCGGAGGGGCAGGCGGCTGCCCCACGGGCAAGGTGGGGGGCTGCTGTTCCTGGCTCGGATGTGCCCCGGCATGGTGCAGAGCTTTGTGCCTTGCCTGCCCGCTCTTGCCGGACTTCTTTGTCTGAGTTCCTTTGTCGATGAAGTAGTTGCTCTGTGGTTCGGTCTTCACAGGTTCAGTCAAGGGCTGCAAAGCAGCTTGAACTTTCACATGTCTTAATTTGGAGCCTGAAAGCTCAGAGGAGGGCAGCTCCTGCTGGAACCGGTGGAACGTGCTGGCACTAACAGCTTTGTCTTTCGGCCTGACATCTTGAGCAGGGGCAGAAGAAACTGGTCCACCAACGATTAACTGTTGCTCTGTACCTACAGAACAAAATATATACGTATGTATTTAGACAAGCTCTTGGCATTTATTTGAGCATTCATAAATCCTCATTGTTTGATGAATGATGTGGTTTCCGTGTACCATGCTGTGTGTACAGTGTAGAGGCTCATGTTAGCTTATCGCATCTTCACAGTCAGGTGATGTAATAGTCACTAAAACAGAAAAGCTGGCTCAGGCAGAGAGGCGCTGCATTGTGGCTGCGGGACTACAGACTGGCAACAATCAAAGGACTTCACAAGAAGGAATTGTAGCAAAGATCAGGCTAAAGTCCCAAAGTAGTTTGCTGGTATTTATGAACACCCCGCTTCTACAAAACTTGAAGCCCCACTAATTTTGCAAAGGTAACACATTTTGATGCTCCTGAACTGTTCATTGCAGTAGCTACACTCATAGTGCCACAACATCTCCTGTGTGGTCTTCTGCCCTTCTAGTCTGGGGTAGCCAAGTCCTTGTCTGTTCTGTTTGGGTAGTAATTTGAGGGGCATATACAATGTAATTCACAGAAGCCTAGGGCTTTGATGGTGCTCTCCTTGGCTGTGGAGTCCTGGGCATTCTGCCCATTTCTTTTTTCCTCAAAAGCTTCCCTGACCAAGCACAGAGAGGTGGCTTGAACCAGTCTTCCCTGTCTTAGGGTGGCCATGATCCCTGAATGGCCTTGAATGTTGCTATTTTTGTTCTTGTCCAATGAACTAATAATTAAACAGACTTTGGTTCAAGGAAAGAGGAAAAAGTGAGAGGTTTATTCTAGATCCTTGCAGTTTGAATATTAACAAGGAAAATGAGGTTCACATCCTTGCACCCTGCCATTATAGGTTCTATACATGTGGAAAACGCTAAATACCATACACTTTCTTCAGTAGACTTTGTATAATCTGCGCACCTTCCTGACAGACAACGGTGTGGGAGCAATTCTGACTGGGAAGCTGTAGAAATTTCAGAAAACAGAGTTATAACAGAGCATCCAAGCACCTGGCTTCAAAGACACAGCAACATTGAAGCATCAGGAAGAGCCACTGGAATTCCACCACCCAGCTGCATCTTAAAATATTCCCAGTGGCTGCCTTGAAGTATATTCTAATCCCAAGACATCAGGCATATGGATGGGGGGAACACACAGCGAGAATTGATATCTGTGGCATTACTGCAAGTATCCTTCAGATAATTAGCTCGCCTTTGAATGAATATGACATCTAAGTACCTGACAAGGTTGTACCTGATGCACCATCTTGCTGAATGCAAAACTGTTGCCCAAAGCTCTGTTCTGGCACCTGGACTCTGCTCCTTCCCCCGTCTTCCGAGAGGTTATTTGGGAGCGTGATAAAGGAATGCTGGTGGGAGCCCTCTGACTGCAGCAGAGGCTGGTTGGCTTTACAGTCCTTGGCACTGTGGGGGTTGTTCTCGGTATCCAGGGTCTCAGTGAGAGACTCACAAGTGGACAAAGTTGATTTTGGTCTTGATGACCTGGAATCTCCAGAAAGCTTGAGCTCCAGATTCTGAATTTTCAACATGCACCAAGTCTTCAGCTCATCGACCAAGGAAATCTGTGAGAAAGAGACTGTGAATTAGATGATCCCACAATTAGATCCTATGGTTCCTGGGCTGCTGAGGATGTGTGGCAGGGAGAAAGAGGAGCAAGCTAGTATCTGTGGGCTTAGACTCCCTGTACTGACGTGCATGCTGCCACTGGGAATATTTAAAGGACTGCAAATCAGAAAAGATGAGGAACTATGCATTAGCTAACGAAAGGCATCCTCTTTAGACCAAGCTACCACCTCTTAGATTTGAATGTGGTACTTCAAATGTGGCTCTAAGTCCTCTGGTCAAGGCTGACTTGTTTAATCATGCAGTCAATGGTACTTTCTAAGTGCAAGGAACATCACATGTGCTCAAAGCTGCCATTTTTAAAGAGTGAAATTCAGAATAGCTGCTTGTGGGACACAGCTTTCTACCATTGCCAACCTCTGCTCCTCTATTCATTTGGTGCTAAAAATGAGTCCAAGGCTAAATGATAAATTACTAACAGCTTTCAAAGTACAAAGGTGCTTAATAAGTGTCAGCCGCAGAGGCATTTGCCAGTTATCATTTAGAATATGAGTAGCTCTTTTACCTTCTTGTTCATACAACATCATTAATTTAGGTCGGGCCCTCCCATGCACATGGACATTTAGTCAAGCCCAACTCAGTTTTTGCAGTAGTTACAATTAGACCCAAGAGAAGAGGAACAGCCGATCTGGCTTAATGGTAATTCCAGTTCACCTGATGGATCACTCCAGCATCTCATTTCTTAAATGGAGATTACAAGGAGCTGGAGCACAAGCCCAGACATTCAGAAGCCAATATAATACGTCTTTTACAATGAAATAAAAACTAAAGCTGCCTTAGTTTGGTAAGTACTTTGGAGAAAAGCATTTTGCAGATGTTAGACTGAAGATCAGTAGTTTATGCTGGGATTATCACAGCTGCCAGCCTTTTAACATGGATTTGGAATGGTCTTACAAAAAATCATGACATTTTACTAGCACAAATTCTTAGAAGAATACCAATCATGAGAAAATTAATTGCATTTTAAATTTACCTGTGTGAGTGGAGAAATGCAAATTTCTTAGCATGTTTTAATGGTGAGTTTTTGCAGAAGCTAGAAGGGAAAGAGCTGGATCTGTACGGGAACAGTTATTCTTGTAATGCTGGTTCAACAAGCACGCAGAAAGAACTTGCCTATTGGCAGTAACACACAGCGTGGAGGTGGTGCACCGTTGCCAAAGTCAGAGGGAAGAACTGCAGCCTTTTAATACGTGGGCAAAAAAAGATGAGATCGAGAAGAAGGGAGAGATTCCCAGGGCACACAACCAAATGGATGAGAAGTAAAAGGAACAACACAGATCTTAGCCTGTGGTGCTATTTGCAGATGTTCCTGCAGATGTCCTTTAATGAAGCAAAAGCTGAAAGCACAACTGTAAAAAACATAGCGGTAGGAATTTTTGTAAAGCACTATGCTAGAAAAAAAGATACTTTGTTACAGATCCCACACTTCTGACCCACCAAACTAAGTTATGACAGCAGGACTGGATTTCTAATGCAAAAGCTTTATAAATTTGGATTAAAGATTAAGGTGGTGGATAGGAATAATTTGATCTTTGAAGCTCTTTTGCCTGTTTCAACAGATGAGATAAATCTCCAGTATTCTCTCTGCCTGCTGGAACAGAACTCTTGAGCTGATCCATCTGAGCTCACAGGAGTAGCTGTTTCAAGCCCTACCTGCCGTTTCTCCCCCTCACTTTTTTCCAGCTCAGCGTGCTGTTGCAGGCGGTGAAGGCACTCTGTTCTCTCTGCGGACAGCCGCTCAGCCATAAGCTTGTCTAAAACACGGAGCTGTGGATAAAAAACCACAATTTAGCTGAGATGATCATGTTAAAAAACAAACAAAACCCCCATGCGTGAACCTTGTAAGCCCAAGTACAGTCTGTCTTTCAGTCTTTGTTTCTAGAAATGCCACCAAGTACAATTGGATGTAGCTTGCAAAAAGGTTCAAGCACAAGATTATCAATGAATAACAATTACATTAAAAATAAAAAATAATTTAGAGGCTCTTCAATCTCAGTGCAAACAGAATTCAGCAAGAGGGATTTTTACAATTATGAACCAACCAGCTGTAGGACTGCCTTCTGTCTTTAAGCTTCCCTCTTAGGGCCTCAAGCAGTTTAGATTTATTGGCTGAAGAACCACCTGAAGCCACTTAACACATTAAATGTGTTTTCCTCAGGACCCTAGTTTGCAACATTAGATCCCTGTGGAACATCACAGTTCCCTGGTCTTGAGTATCAGGCAGGTATCAGGTTCAGTTTTACAACACAAGAAGCAAAAAACAAATCATGACAATGAAAATATTCATTCAGCTTAGGATATGTTTCTAATAGGCAGGCAGAGCTCTGGGTCATATTCTTACTTGATGTTGAGTTTTGCTTTCCATCTGGCCCAGCTTAACATTCATCTTATCTTGTACTGTCCCAAACTCAGCTTTCATCTCTTCTACTGTTGCCTCCAGCTGATTCTCCAGTTTATTTATCAGGGGCTCACAACGACATCCATTTATTGGTGCCTGAAAGGAGTAACACAGTCACTTGCTACCTCCCGCTGTCCTCTTAGTGCACTTGGAACATTATCACAGCCTCCTTGAGTGGGACTTGGGCTCTTCTGTACCGTGTACTGTATCTCACCCTCCCAAGAACATCTTACGGTAGCTCAGCAAACAGGCTATTATTAGCTGGAAAAGCACAGACTAAAACAAGGATTAATCTGATTTATACGGACACATCCTAACACAGCAGTGTTGATTTTTGCTGGGGCTACAAGCAGCAACGAGCTCAGGTCACGTATGCTGTGCGTACCGTGTGCCGTATGAAGGGTTACCACATTACAGGCCTGTGCCCCGATGTCTCGATGCAGTAATTCTGAATTGTATGAAAAAAATGTGATTTTTGTAGACATATGTGTCCTTGTGTGCATTTATTTTTTTTAACCTCATGACAATAATGTGCTGTTTTTTCCCATGTAGCGTGTGGCAAGGTCTCGCTGCTCCTGCCTGCCATCACCCTGCTGGCACGCTGCGCACCCCGCTGCCTGCCTTTGACTTGCACAACGCGTCCCAAGGCTCCTGGGCGAGGCGAGCTGCACCCACCACACTGAAATCTCTCAGGGAGACGGTCGCAACAGGCTCCCTTAAGTGAGGACAGCTAATCCCCGTCGGCTTCCTCTGCGCTCCGCTGGCAGAAGTTGGCTCCTGCAGGGGGGTGAGTCAGGAGCCCAGGCAGCAGCTCGGAAGCCGTCTGCAGAGAGAGGAGCCTCCCTCTCCCCTTCGGACCTGCACTACCGTTTCACAAATTGGGGTTATTCCCTTGGCAGGGGAAGGCGGGTGGTTTGCGGAGGGCTAGAGAAAGCTTTGGAAATACATGTACTTAAGAAATTTGGTTTGCTCTTCAGGGCCTGAGGGCATCAAAGAAGACAGACAAGCTCAAAAGAAGGGGAGAGAGGAGTGTCATGTGTTTCAGGAAACGCTCTAAGGGAGTCTAGCTGTATTAAACTCATCTTGGTGAATAGATTAGATTTGTATACAAATCCTATCTATCTGCTCTTTGCACCTTTCTTCCTGCACCCCAAGTTGTTCCTACTGGCCCACCCTCCCACCATCAGATCCTAGGGACAGGGAGATACCCCTTTTAATGGACGAAAGGTCCTCCATCCTCCCTGATGTCTGCTACTAGGATAATCCCAGAGTGCCCCTGCCTGGAAGCTTCCCAAGCGTTACACAGTGAGATGCTGGAAAACAAGGCCAGTAAAACCTCTGACATCTGACTTGAGTGATCTTCAGAATCTGCTGAATTTCTTATGCATAGCAAGGGATTGAGGAGAGCTGGTGGATGGATTTGAGAAGCCGAGGAAATGAAAGAACTGACCTCCAAGAAGTACCGGAGGGCAATATTAAGAAAGCAAGAGTGTAGACGTTTACAATGTCTACAGGGTAATTTGCTGACTGTTTTCATGCTCTTTTAGAAATGTGTACTAGTAAATATTTGCGGAATAAAATAAATTGAGTGGAGTAAAACATCTGCCTCTAAACCAGAATAAATGCACATGCACTGGTATTTCTTGGTTTATTTGTGAACCAATTTCTGTACCACTCCTGCCTCCAGTAATCCTAGAATCCCCAAAGACACCTTGCAATAAACAGAACTGAAACACAATGTATGGAGCGTACTCAAGCTCTTGGTATAGGTAGTAAGCTTCAGTGCTCACACAATGCTTTAATTTATTTTTATTGGCAAAGGTCTTTGCATTTCCTGCTGGAAATTTCAATATTTCAAAGTGTACCATAAAAGTTCCGGTGTCATTTCCAATCACTGTTCACACCTTACTTCAAAAAGAAATACTTTGTAGAACAAAACTAGTTAAGCATGTCTTCCTCAGCATGCAGAAAACCAGCTTATCGTTTACCAGACTTCAGGCCAAAATGCAGCTGAAGCCCAAACGAGGTAAACAAATCCACAGTTGTGATTTCATACCCTTGGGAGGGCAGTTCAGCGAGCGCGTTTTCCATCCGTTACCTAACTGTGCCGCAACTCCAAGCGCTGCTCCCTGCCTCTCCCTCCGCGAGGGCAGCGGCCGGCTCACCTGCATCACCTTCCCATCCTTTCCTCGATAGAGCGTGTAGAGCTGGTAGGCTCGGACCTCGTGGGGAGGGGGTGGAGACGTGCAGTGATGTTTACTTCTGCGCTTCGGCACGTTTTGCTGGGGCCGAGGGAGAGTCTGCTGATCAGCTGGGGAGATGGGGTCTGAGAGAGCTGAAACCTGCGTGAAATACACACAATGTTTTCCCTGTTTATGAGCCCCCTGGTAAACTATTTCTGGTGGGAATGGGACAAACCCATGGTGATAACTAACTGCAGCAAAAACCTGATTAAAACACCAATCCAGCCACAGTGGTTGGCCACAGCTTTGGTGTCTGGCAGCAGAGTAACCAGATTTCCACACAAATCCAGTGCGCGTGACTCTCAATAGCTGAATTTCCCCACCAGAAATTGGTTTTGCCTGAAGACAACCTCTGCCCCATGGGCACGGCGGGGCTGGTGCCCTGCCTCACTGGCACACCAAAGGGACACCTGTACCTTTACAACTACACTCTCTCTCGCTCTCTCTCTGCTGTTTTAAATCTACTGATACCTTTTCCTTTGGCTTTTTCTTTTTGCTCTTCTTCCCTTTGGGATCTGGTGAGGTTGACCGGGGTTCGTCTTTCAGATCGCTCTTCCCCTGCGGTGGCTGGTCACTGCTCGGCGTGTCGTCAGCAGCCGAGACGCTGCCCTGCTTGAAGCAAAGACAGGGAGTTCAGAGCAGTTGCAGAGATGGGGAAAAGGTGCCTTTTCGTCAATTTCCCAGCTTAAAGCTGCTCTGCGCACGAGTGGGCAACTCTCCAGCAGCAAAGCATGACAGACTGCCCCAGACAGCTGCCACAGTCACGCACAAGTGATGGCTCCAAACAGATTTAGCCCTGATGGGTTCTATTTACACCCCCTCCTCGCAGCAGATGCAGCTGGTAGTGCCGGGCTGTACCTTGCTCTGTACCACTTCATCCCGTGGTACCGACTGCGCTCGCCTTTCCTCCTTCAGCCTCTCTCTCTTCTTCCTCAGGCTTCTTCCACGGTTAAAGCGCGAGACCTGAGGGCAGACCACACTATTACTCAGCGATGCCATGCTCTTTCCTACCACAGAAGTCAAGCGATAGAGCAGACCTTTCTCATCTCTACTAAAAGGGGATATAGAAAAGAAAGCACACTGCCAGATGGATGCGGATGGGCCAAGCAACGTAAGTGTTTATAGTCATGAAAACACACCACCACTGAGCTAAGGCCACCAGGGCACTTCGCTGCCCATGGAGGGATGACAGCCTCCTCCTGTGTCCCCACGCTGATTGCCAAGCCCAGCCCAGCCCTTGTCACACAGAGATGACGAGGAGGAGCAGGGCAGGGATGGCGCCTGGTCTCCTACCAGAACACAGAGCCCTCCCACCTGCCTTCCGGCCTGGAGAGCATTGTAACATATTGCACAGAGCAGCAGAGTATAAACAGGACGTTTTGTCCCCATTTCAAAGCATTTTCAGTGCAAGCAACCATCTTGGAGGTGGGAGATGTCTGAGGTAGGCAGCAGCGGGCATAGCCTGGGAGCTTTTTGGTACAGGGCAGCTTTCCAACCCCTGGGCCGCCGCAGGGAACAAGTGCCTTTTGCTGCTCCATCCTCCACCAGCCAGGACAGCCAGGACCTCTGCCAGCGCTTAATACTGAGGCTTCATCTGCACACCTTGCTGGGCTCGTGAGCTGAAAGGCTCCATGCCAACAGACCTGAGGCCACCACGCAATGCCAGCAGAAATGTAGGCACCTTTCACAGGAGAAAGTTAAGGACCAGGGCATGTGGCCGCTCTAGGTTAACTGGCCTCAGCTCTGTGTGTATGCGTGTCTTGGGGAGAGATTTGTAACGTACCTGTGATGCTTTAGTGAGGAGGAGAGCAACTTCAGGGTTATTGTGCTGTCTGGCAACCTCTAGAGGGGTCTGACCTGCCTGAGAGGAAAAAGAAAACAGCATTTCCTTCAAAACACAAGCTACCGGAAATGTGGAATTTGTTCACCCAAGGTTAGTACATGCTCTGTGCACAAGAGTAAAGTGACTAACTGCTTTCATTTACCCAGATTTAATTCGACACCCAAATATTTTCTACCAACACTACGAAGAGTGTTGAAGGGAGTCTGCATTAATACAAAACACCAAAGAAACTCCACTTTCTGCTTACATTGTTGACCACGGATGCATCGGCCCCTGCCTCCAGCAACAGCTTAACCACCTTCCTGTGATTCAGAGCCGCAGCTAGATGGAGTGCAGTGTCCCCTGCCTGCAAGTTAGAAAGCAGAAAACAACCGTGTAACGCAAGTCCTTGGTCTCGCCCTGCAGAAATCACACCTTCCTAACAGATGCTCAGGGGTCAAAAGACCTACACTTACTGATGCAACAACTAAGACTAAATAAGGCCTGGTCAATGAAAAAAGCAGAGTTGGGAGGAAGAGGACAGGAGGGGGCAAGGAGCTACTTCAGCCTGGTTTTGAGAAATGCAGCTGGAGCGCTGGTGATCTGGTTTAACTAAACCAAGTGACACAAGATGCAGCTTGGAGACATCCCAGCTCTACCGCCAGCAAACGGATACGACATCTGAGGGCAGAACCGGTTTTCCCACCACAACTTTCTCTTTTTTTTTTTTTTTAGGTTTGATTATTTGGTGCGCAGGTGGTCATGTATCACATTACTCAAAAATAATCAGATAAGTACCAGCAGCAAGATGGCTGGTGTTCTCTTCACGAGATTCCTCAAGAAAAACAGGCTTTGGACCAAAGCCAGGAGGTGATCTGGGTCCAGCACTAACACAGTGCCCTGCCCTTGTCCTGGTGCAGTGAAGTGAAGATGGCCGTGATCAGATTCGGGCACCAGTAACAGAGCCAGCAGCTGTTCAAGGGAGGTCAGGCACGTGCATATAATGCCCTCCTGTCCTCTTTGCCTTCCATTTTGCCTTCTGAAAATTACATCTCCTCAAGACGAGTAGAAATCTATTGCTTGCTGCTAACTTGGATGAGGCGCATTCATAAATAAAATCATTGTATGTGCAAATATGGAACAACTTGGGGTAGTGCTGGGGAGTGAAGGAAAGGGGTATCTCTCTGGGCCAGGTTCACACTAGTTGATCTTAATATTCAGTAGCTCATTTTGCAAGTTAAAAAACTTATTTCCAAATAAAATTACATAGTGAATTTAACATGATGAAACCCATCTTGTTTGCTGTAGTATCTCCTATCTAAGAAACAAGATTAAATGTACAGATCAGGAAACATCTTTATGATCCTCAACTACACATAGAAAATTTCCCAGGAACATGAGACGATGTGGTTAAGCACCACATAATCTGTTTATTTAGCAGATTTAACACATTTTCATGTCCTAAATCCATTCCCTTCTACCACCCAGTTAGGCTACGCTATAGGTACAGCAATCAATTACTTCTCTATAAAACAACTATGGATGATCAATCCTAGGTTAGACTGATCATTAATTTGAATTTAATGCATTCTTTTTCTTCACTTTCATGTCCTTTTAATTCCCCCTACTGCAAAGGGGCAGCAAAGAAAAGTATTCCAGAGGAATTCACACTTTTGTAGCATCTGAAAAGGAGTTCTACTTCACAATGTCTCTGTAATGGCCACAGGATCATTAAAATCTAGTTACAGAGGAGAAAATGGGCCCCCATAAAACAACTGAGTCTCTTGCCAAATCCCATTCTGCACAGAACTGGTAAGGTCCCAGGAGCTCCAACTCCTAATCCTATGCTATGACCCCTGCCCCAAACCCCCTTTCAACACCAACATACAATCGCAGAACCTCATAAATAGGCAATGCTTTAAAGAAACGATGCAAATGTGATGGCAAAATAATAAACCACTGATATGCCATCACTTTAAGGCTATTCTTAAAAGCTCAGGCATTTGGTGGCACAATGAAGCACAAAGAGAAGCGGGATTACTTGGGTAGGAATCCCTCTTCCCAACAACTAGCCGTATGCAAAGGGCGCAGAGTTGCAATGAGGTTCATGCACTGACCTGGTTCTTTTCATGGACAGAACAGAAAGCACTGAGCAGCACCCTAACGATGGGCAAGTGATTATAACGAGCAGCCACATGCAGACAGGTATCTCCTGCCTGCGAACAGAAACAAAGCTCTGAGCACGTAATCGCAGTAATAAAGCTTGCACTTGTCATGGTGTTCAGGGATGAAATAATCCTATTAAACCAAAAAGAGCAGTAAATGCCACACACCTCCACTGAACAGCAATGCTGTTGTCTCTGCGGTACAAAATCTACTGTCATGGGTGGGAAAGTTTAGCAAGAGCTGGGGTCAGACAAGGTGGGGGTACAAATTCTTTAACCACTGACAGGAAATACTGGAATTATAAAATGCTGGTTTATGCACTACAAAACCTGATTTACATTTTTACATTCAATCTGTTGTTCTGAACCGCAAAACAATGTGATTTGGAAACTCAATGTGGTGTTGCACATAATAAAGAAAACCTGAGGAGTGGGGGCCAGGCAGCGTCCCCACAGGGGTGGCACGTGCACAGCTGGAATGGGAGCTGGGAGCAGAGCCGCATCGGTTTCCATCTCTGTGTCCTTCTGCCCACCTTGTTATCAAGCAGGAACAAAAACATCTGGCTTCCTTTTGTAGATTTTGTTTTCCTTTGTCATGCTAGAATCATTATAAAATAGGAGGAAAGCTGTCTGAAATTGAAGTCACCTTGAATCTACCTCATTTGACAGACCGACACACAGTGTATATTATCTGTCTCAGCAAGAGCAGATCTGAAGACTTTCACTTCTCTGGCATAAAACCTCTTTAACATTTCCATCTTTTTGAGAGAGGAACCCTTTTGCAGAATTGCACGACAGTGTATGGGTCAGGCCATCAGGACCCCCAAAAAGCAGCAACCAGCTGCCTCCGTCTGTGCAACAGCAAAGCCCCTTTTGGCTCCTTCCGTCCCTGCTCAGGAGATGGGTATAAGTAGTGCATCACTCAGCCATATCAAAACCATTCCTGTACTTGATGTATACAATGGTTTGTTGGGGGGGGGGGGTTCAATAGCATTTCTAATAAAAATCACAGCTTAAAGCATTTCTGAGCGTTTGTACAAGTTAAAGCAATATAGCTAAAAGAAAGGCACACAAAACCGAACATATTCTTTCCAAAACTCACATTATTTTTGAGGTCTGCTCGAGATCCTCCAAGTAACAAAACACGAGTACTCTGGGAATGGCTATTCTGGCAAGCCAGGTGAAGAGGTGTATTACCTGCCTTAGAGAAATACAGAAAAATATAAAAGTCGTATTTAGAAATTGGGTGTAAGCATTAAAAAATAAAACCTCACAGGTCTTCCCACAAGAAAATCCACCCAGGGGTGGGAAATTATCGCTGTTATTTTCCCAAAGATGTGAGCTGAATGAACCCGGAGACTGAAATACCCTCCTCATCCTGGAAGCGATTTATCTGGGATATAGTAAAGGCAGAAGTCGGATGGTCTAATGATATCTGCATTGGTCAAGTCTGTTTGCAGGAAGCAGACTCTGGAAACTGTCTGGTTCATTAATATCAAACAGCACTATCAAGTATTTCATTTAAAGAAATATAATTCTTGTGTTTCGGGTTTCCCCCACGCGCACACACAAAGAACCACGCTGCCACGGCACGGCATCTCTGATCTCAAGCAAAGTCAGCTGCGACTGCAGCAGGGTGCTAGGCAGACAAGGGTCACAATGATTTCTGTTTCCTTACGATCGTAACACAAACCAGCTCCAAGTCTTGCTGAGTTTGTAGGTGGTCTCACAGGGCAGGATGCAGGTTTCAGGCTATCGGGAAGCTTTGATGTTCAGAAAGCATACCAGTCTCCAGCCAAGATGAGAAAGTGAAAAGAAAAAAAAAAAAAAGCCACCCAAACCCCAGAGAATCACATGCTAAGGTTCCTGAAAGAAGCAAACGTGCAGTTTCTATGGACAGAAATCAAAGAAGAGTTTGCTTGTGTCTTCTAAGACTGTGAAGGATTTTATTGGTCTGACAAGTTTTTCTGGCAGCATTTGGCTTTTGTTGGCCTGAATATGACTGGGAATTTTGGCTCTTGGGAGCTAGAAATGAAATCAGCTCAGGTAAAAAAGTTTCCCATGCTTACTAGGCTGCCTGTTCACCTCAATAATGTCCTTTAATTTGTCTCCCGTGCTTTCAAGACACAGATCAAGCTGCAGGGTTTGAATTACAAAAGGCCAACTCTTAGATGTGGTTTTAGGTCTTCGGTTCCATGTTACAGACTATTTCAGGCCTGAATGTAGTCTCTAAGCTGTGGCAGACATGAACATTTTCTTTCTCAGCTAAATTGCATTTAAGTGTTGATTTTTTTCCCTCTTGAGTTTATCTCTAAAAAGCCTCTGCAATGTCTTTATCATCTGCTGTTTGGAAGGTCGGCCCTGGCGGGCAGGCTGAGAGGTCCCGTGCAGTAGGTGGTGGACGAGGACCTCAGAGCTGGGAGAAGTCATGGTGCTGGTGCCTCGAGTCAGGGCTCACCGAGCAGGCTCATCTGGCTCGTCTCCCACAGCGTGACAAATCTCTTACCAGCTTCTATGAGAGGGAGAGTGGGTCCAAGTTTGTTGTTGGGGGTCTTCACTGGTCTACTGAATCTTCACTGAAATGTTCATACTGATGGCGGATCTAAAAAGAAGGCTACAACTGATCCCATGGGATGATCTATCACAGCAGAAGAGGTTTTATTAAGCCAAGTAAATAAAGTGCATTTCCAGGGTGATTGCTGGACAGGAGGAATATTGATACCCACGTGGTTTACCCACGTGTTGTCCCATTCCTCAAATGCCTGCCTGACTTGCCTTTAAAATCCCGGGTGTCCTGTCTGCCCTCTGCATTTCACTCAATATAGAAGCTGTCTTCAATTGCATTGCTCTTTTATATACTGTGCTCAAGGTGCTGTGCTGTGAGAAGTGCGTCCGTACAAGTGTTCTCCCAGGATACATTAACCAGGAGTTACAGAAAATACAGAGTCAAATCCCTCCGGTCTTCTGCTGCTCAGCAGGCTTTGGCAAATCTAGCAGCCCGTATCTGCCCATCCAGCCAAAATTGCACGATGCCCAGGTGTAAGTCAACAGTCCCTAGGGTGTTCCTGGACATGGCTCTCAGCCCTGGCTGCCACAAAAGCTGTCAGAAAGATTATGCCTTGTTGTCAGTAACATAAAAAGTTGAGAGATCACAGAAACCGTTTTGGGATTAAGTAGACTTAAGCTCTTCATTTTTCCTTTAAATCAAAAGGGGTAAAAGCACGTGCATATGTGCAAGCATGCACGATTCCCACATTTTTCAGCGGCTCCTGAGAAAAGACCCTGTCCATTAAAAAACACCCAAATGGTGAAATGCAAAGGGAGAGGATTGGGTGGGTAAGACATCAAAGACCAGCGCAGGAGCTGTTCACACAGTATTAAAGTCTGCCAGTCACATTTCAGGCATCAACCCTACCAAGCTATTCTGTGCGCGTGCTTTCCAAGACAGGTTGTCTCCAGTTGACATACGCTGTATTGTAAGCTAAATCTTCCACTACCCTGAAGCATCCAGCATCCAGGATAACCAGACTTGCATCTGAAGCCCATACCTTTGTACAAAAGTATACCTATAGACATAGACAAGCGTATCCAGGCAGAGGAGTATAATGGTTCACAGGACTATAAAGTCAAGCATGGGAAGTTGTCTGAAGTACCTTTGATACAAATCTAGGTGAATATTACAGCAAAAATAATTACAGAAAATTAAAATTGGAAGTTGGAACACTATCAAAGAAGGAATACACATAAAATAATATCAAAGATGATGTAATTATAGACCACAAAGTGACCACGACTGTACAAACACATGCATATATATTGCAAATGTACACGTGCACACAGAGAAACACTATGCCCAGGCAACATGCCTTTTTACTCTAAATCTTGGACTTTGGCCATCTGCCTCCCTTCTTCCCTTTCTTCGCTAGTCCCTTTCAGTTGGCATTTTCGAGTGAAGTTTACTAAAAAATGCTCAGAGACCCCATCAAGCCATCCCAAAGCCCTCTCGCCTGTAACCAAGGACATGGTGCCAACCGAGCGGTCCCAACCCTAACTCAGCTCACGCCATAGGCTGCTACTGCCACTTCATAGACTATTTCATTAACTTTTGAATTTGTGAATTGAAGTCTCCCACAGACATTACAATTAAGAGTGGAACTAAAACCCCTTGCTTTGTTGTTCTTTCCTCTAAACTGCTCTCAAAGTATTATAAATACAAAAAGAAGATAATCTGGGTTCATTACAAGATTTTGGTATGAGCTTACGATCATGTATTAGGAAGAACTTGCTAACAAAAGATACGGTATTTTTTTCCCCTCTGTGGCTTACATTCACTTGGCTGTTTAATTTATGGGGGGAAAAAAAAAAGATTTTGAATGCCATATTCCTATTAGTACAATTCCTTTTCATTTTAAATCACACCAATCACAATGAATTCACTCGGTATAAATTAGAGCACCGTGGAGACTCCACAGGAATTGCAGCCATAATTAACGTATCATTCAATGTGCTATTGAGTTCCTCCTGCATCAGCTGTCAAAATATGAATTTCCTAATGCCTGTGGAGGAATCATCCAGGCATAATAAATGCAAAAAGAGACGAAAAAAAAAAATCCTACTAGGAGCTGGTCCTCCACTTGCTGAGAAATGCCATGGCCAAAACTCTCCAGTGCTAAGAATCAGCCACCTTACACCAGAACTGAAAGAGCCTCCTGCATGGGTCTCACCTTGTTCTTGGCAAGAACGTTGGCTCCTGCTTTAACGAGCACTTTGGCGGACTGACTGAATCCATGCCAACACGCTTCATGAAGAGAAAAAACCTGAAGAGCACACACACAAGAGGAGAAGGTTAGTGCACTGTGTCCACGTGCAGAGTAACATTACATTCAGAAGGCAGCAGCTGCACGGTCCACCTGCTCCCCCAAAAAATAAATAATTTTCCTTCCCTATTAGCTAATTTTCTATTTTATTTTTTATCAGAGGCAGATATACACCAGACTAAAACATAAAATAATTTCTACTGACAACTTGTGTACTTTTTCCTATCTACTCTTTCTATCTTCAACCTCTATCTTCTACTCCTTCCCACATCTCCTAGCAAGCAGAGAACAGCACTAAAGCTTTTGTTTGGATCTTGGAATTAGTTATATTTACTCCTAAACTAAATTTACAGCTTGGAATTCTCAGTTTCAGGGATAATCAAGGGAAACTGCAGTGTTTTGCTTAGGGCATAGTATATTTGTACGTTTCTTTAATTCCTCCCTTAATAAGCTGAGACTAGATTCTTAAATCAAAAATTATCAGCCTGATTGATACAAAAAGAATAACTAAATAATCAGTAATTTATATTAAAGATATGGTACAGCTTTTTTTCAGTGTAATTGTTCCAATTACTTTCCAAGCATCAGATACTTACTCAGGAGGATAAACCATAACTTTCTCTCTGAGACCTTAATATCACTGGCTGGCAAGGCTGCCATCCCACAGGACTTTGTTTTGCCTGTTACCTTGTCTTGTCTGTCCAAAGCACACCCCTCTTGAATCAGAGATGCTATAACATCGGTGTTCCCTACGACAGCAGCCCGGTGCAATGCTGTCTGATCACCCTGCAAAAAGAAGCAAATTTGTAATCAGTACCATTCCCACCTCATTTTGACTCAATGCAAATGCATACAACACACGCAGGGGCTGCAACTTCAACACACGTACTGTTTAAATCCAAGCTGCCTTTGAAAACAGTCCCTGTAAACAACTGTCACTAAAGTTTCCAAGATTAATGAAGTTATTGAAAGTATCAGAAAACTACAAACCAACTGTTTACAGAAGTCTGCAAGTCATCACAATCCCATATACAGCGCTGAAGCATTCTAAAAATATGGTAGTATTAGAAGGACAGTGAATCTAACACATTTGGCACTAGGAATCTAATAACAATATCTGAAGGGAACTAAAGGGAATTACAGGCTGTTGTAATACATCATAATGATCCTCCAGTACTTAGACTAACTGGATGAAGCTCTCCTGTTTTGGCTCTGATCGCTCCATCAGCCCTGCTTAAGACAAGGAGCATGAGATGAGATCAGTCTTTTCAGCACCTCTCATGAATTTACCAATTAGTGCTAAGAGTGGAGGCAATTTTATGATGAGGACCACAACTGCAAGACCACCAACTCATTTCATTCAAGCAACTGAGTGATCTTGAAGTCCGAACGACCTTCATTTCTCATTGACCTGCCACATAGCAGCAGCAAGCAAGTTTCTTACATCAGTTATTTTCTTGATGGCCAAGTTTCAAAAAGAAATTACGCTGATGCAGTCATCTTGTCTGACTGCCCATCTATCTCCCCTCTAACAACTGTCAAACTCGTTTGCTGAGCTGGAGAGCCCAAGATTAATTTTCTGTAAAACTTCCAGAAACCGAAGGCTAGGGAGATGCAAACTACTGGCCCTGCCCATCGAGAGTTATCTCTGTATTTTTACGTGCATGTTGGTGAGACCATGATAAAGGAGAGGGAACAGGAGGATTTATGCAGCAGCACGTAGGGACGCAAAAGACCGACTGATGGCCAACCGAGCTGCAGTAGCTCCACTTGCTGCCACAACAACAGGTCTTGGCTTCCCTTTGAAGTTGCTTTGAACCTGCAATGCTGAAGCAGAGCCTGTGAGTCCAGGCACAAAGACTAGCTTCAGAGCTGCACACAGCCTTTTTTGGGGGATGAATAAAGAGAGTGGGAAACCAATCCCTTTCTGTTATCTAGATAATGGTCACCAAAACCACACGAAGGGCAAAGATAGCCAATGTATCCTGAGGGGGAAAAAAGCTTGCAGAAAGCTAGTCCTAAATAGATACAAAATTTCTCTGCTAAAAATCTGTAACAGATAATGCCATATTATATTAAATACTAAAACTAGAGGAATTTCTGTACTTTCTGTCCTACGGTCTACAAGTCTTTAGATAACTGGACAATTCAAATAATTTCTTCTCAAAGGCAATTAGCAGCTGACTTAAAAATTGCACTTAGTGGGGTTCTTTTGTGCTAATGACACCAAAATAGTTATTAATCCGTAAGGGAAAAATTAGCATTGCCAACCATGATCTTTCAGTAACTCCTATAATACCAACTCCCACCAGCAGTAAATCATTAAACTGGCTTATAATCATGAAGTTGATTTTTCAAAAAATGTGTTGAAGGCTTTTCTAAAATTTGCTAGATGTGTTTCATCTCTAGAGGTTACATACTCTTACTTTTGTTCTTGTCCCTATCAAGACTGGAAATGACTGGACAGTAATGGTTCCAGGAACTGGGACTTTCAGAAAAACACAAAGTATTGGGAAACTGACAGCACCGCAAGTTCTCTGAACCTGTGTATTTGTTCCAAATTTAAAGATAACCAAAATGTTATGGAAAATGTCCAGATTATACCATGTCACAAGTGCAAGTGTCAGATAATTTCCAGTAACTATTACTGCACAGAAATCTGCTTGCTAACAAGCCAGGGAAGAACTTAACACCCTTTCTTGATAACGCATGGTACTGATGACTGGCACAGCTACTGCAGTACTGGTAATGTGGACACTGCAAAGGTCATTTTATCTGACTACCATGAAGTGGAAAGTAATCCGTCAACTATCCCTTTGCACCAGCAGAACTACACAAGACATTATAATAAAGACTAAAACAAGATGACATCTGCCATTGCGATGGATGGAGCTTGGACAATGAATGGTTGGTTCCTACTTCTTTACAGTCCGGAAAATTGTTCGTGGAGAAGACCAAATTGGGGGTAGGAATGGATTGTATTGCATTTAATTTGTAATTAAGGATCTTCTCGCTGGGCCAGTTTAAATCAAGGCTGTTCTTGTCATTAGCCCAATCCCATCACAGTAATTGCAGTGAGGTCAAAGGCCATTCAGCTTTTTGGGGTTTGTTGATACGACAGCTACTTCTAATGGCATCTCAGTTAAATAAAAGACAACACATATGTGGAAGGCGGGAAGCACACCTCACTGCTGCAGGAGCAGGTCTCCCTTGGGGTGCCCAGTCCATGTGCTGGGGGGACCATTCACCAGGGCTGCACAGCGGCACTGGGACAGCTTCAGCCATGTCCGAGCTTTGTCCATTACTATATTCTGGTCCACAAAATGGAAGCATGGGTAGGTGAAGGGACACAAGTCCTGCAGATGGCAGGCTCAGGTGTCTCCTGCCCAAGGTGTGGGCTTTGGTGCTGACATCTTCCCTCACAAGCATGGGGAGAGCCAAGCATCAAAGAGTAAGGTCCGACCAGCACCCCGACCAGGTAAAGAAATACATCATCCATGTAACAGGGAGTGTCAAAGGATATCTCAAACCTTGCCCCACCTGGACTGAGGCACCTCCCAGAGAAGAGATGGCAGGTACCAATGTCCTGGTGAAGGTCCCTACCACCACCAGGCCCCTCAGCCAGCAGGGCAGGACCTGGTCAACCGTTCCCTCGGACCACAGCACACACATTAACCTCAAACTGCTTAAGGTGCCGTGCAAGCTGGACCCTCAGACTGCAATGGCCTCTGCGTGCAAGTCACTGAGCGACCCAGACAGAGATGGCGTAGCCCACTGATAAATAACACTGCCTGCACCGCTGTGTTTCCAACCTGTCCTGCCTCCTCATCAGAAGAGGAGCAAACCCCTATCTTACCTCTTACGGAGTCAGATAAAACAGATGAGTTATATTTTTTTCACAACGTGAATTTTCAGACAGTGTAATCACTGACTCGTGCATCTTTTCATTAATTGCTAAAATAACTGTCTGTGAAAGCACTCATCAGAGTTCTGCCTTTAGCAAGGCATTGGGGGCTGTTCCAGAGGCTCGGAGAGCAATTACACCGGTAAATGCGTATTAACTGCCCAGACTATTACGCTGGGCAGAAATTATGATCCTATTTGTAAGTGATTTATGCCTTAGGAACAGACTGCAGATCAGCAGCAATGAGGAGAGATAAGTCCAGTGCTATGTCACGCAAATGTGACCTTGACAGAAACAACAGAGTCTGCCTAAATGCAGATGTGGGCCCGATGCCAAAAAGACACTTAGGTGCTTGAGTGAAGCTTGGTAGAAGTAAAGCACTTAAGTCTACACCGGTGCATCTTAAATCCCCTTCCTCAGCTGCTGCCTAGCCCTGAAAACAACTCAAACTCAGGTGTTTCCACTCCAACACCGCAGACATCTCGGTTTGCACACTGCCACAGGGCACCGCCGTCACGGTGGCACTGAGGAGGTCGTTGCGTGGCACACGTCCCGCCCTGCCGCAGCCCCTAACACAGGTATCCCCGCTCCTCTCCCTCGCCCTGTGAGCGCCCTTGTCGCAGGCGTGCTAGAAGAAGCTCCACACAAGTTGCAGATAGGCCCACCACCTTTTAAAATGACACCAGCGAAGGAGGTGGCCGCTGGCTCTTCTGCAGCAGCCCTGAGATGATGGTACTTGCCCAGCTTGTCTTGCCATGAAAGCACTGCTGTGTGCAAAGTGCTCCACTTTTAAGAAAAATCTCGGTATTGACTGGGCTAGAGAGAGGGAGACGCTGGGACAGGAGTCTGCATCCCACAGTGCAGAGGATGCAGGGCGGCACATCCCGAGAGCTCTGCCTGTGACGGGGCTATTGCACAGCCAGGCCCAGCACCAGCAGGCAGTATGTTTCCACAGAGTGAAACCACGCTCTTTACAGAGAGCTTAAACACCTGCTTTCAGGAGAGGGTTACAGGCTGGGAGTCCTGAAGAAAGGCAGATACCTAAATCTTGACCATCTCCATGGATTTTGGCATTACCCTTTTCTTTAGCACTTCTGTTTCGGCTAGGCCTGTAGTGCTTGTTCAGTGTCCCGGTGTTTGCAATCACCTCCTCCAGTTTCCTCACTTGCTGACTAACTTAAAGCAGTGGGTGCAACCACTAGGACCAGGCACCTAGGGACTGGACAGGCACCTGTTTTACATCTGAAGTTCACCCCAAGGGAAAGGAAACAACACAAGCAACTTACAAAAGGGTTTCAAGTGGCATTAGTACTTCTGCCAGCTCTCCTGGGTTACTGCAGTCTCTTTTATAGACTCTACAGCCCAAACTTAACAAGATTCAGTGTACACTAGTTTGTAATACATGTTACTTTTTCCTTTCTCTGATTTCAAAAAATACTATAACCACCATATTTTGTTTTCCTGCACAATCCCATTCTCCAGAACATCCATCAGTTGTACAATCTCCTTTAAAGCCCCTCTCCAGCATCACACTTTGCCTCCTCACCTTCTTTCCATCTTTGCAGAAATCACCAAATAAACTGTCTCACTACAGGAGAATTGCACCAAAATAAGCTGCAAAACCTTATGCCTTCTAGCCCTGATGCAAAGTGCTGGACGGCACTTGCAAAGTCTTATACTATGAAATCAAACCACTAAATTGATGGTAGAAAGTTGAAAATATTTTAAAGTTAAATATAACCAACTGTTAAATACTCGCAGGAGCACACAAGCATAGGTGGATATCCTGAAGCAGCCGTACACAAAGGCAACTGAATGTGCCCTAGTGTTTCTCAACATCACTGTGCTGCTCTCCTCCTCCTCCTCTAAAGAAAGGCAGTCACCATGATACACAGTAAGAACAACTTCACTCTGAACGATAAATGATGATGCATGACCAGCAGATGTGATCAAGGCATGAGAAAATAATCAGGAACGAAACAAATTACAGCTTCAATGAGACTGAAATGGTTGTACAGGCATAAGCCATTTTGCATATTTACATTCAGCTAGAAATGATTATGAACCCTGGGTTATTGTTCTATTTGAAATTAATTTTCTGCTTCTTGAACTGGAGCTTCCAGAAGGGAAGTTTCGGTGCCTCGAGCCTTTGTTTTAAATCAACTTGTTTTCCCAGCTAGATTTTCAGAGAGCGCATACAGGGCAGGAAACTTGATGCAGAGCACCCAGCACAAAGCCCGCCATGCAGCCATGCACCGCCAAAGAGCTCGGTCATGCCAGACCGCCAGGCCAAGGTTTCGCAGCATGCAGCCGTGGGAGACGTCAAGCTCAAGGCAGGATTGATGCACAAGATTTCTAACCTCCTTCTCTCTTTCTGATCTTCTAGGTTCCTTCCTAGCCTTTCTCTTCTGGTTTCTCTTATCTTTTTCGTCCTTGGTTTCCTTCACCGGGACAACTTTCTCCTTGACTATTTCTGAGGTGTGTGCTGTATGGATACTCATTGACCACTCAGAGATGGCATTGGGATCCCAGTAAGAGTTTTCGGTATTGGCAGGGAGAAGGAAGGAGTTAGCTCCCGGGGTGGCGTACTCTACAGAGCTGGACTCCACCGGTTGAAATTCATAATAATCCCACTCCAGGCCACTGGAGGTCATTCTTCAACTAATTCTTACGGCTCCTACTGTGTTTTAAAGAACGTATCTGTAGAACATGAAGTGAGTGTTTTAATCTCTCCACAACATTTAGCAACTTTTAAGTTTTCGCTTATCATGTGGCAGATGAAAAGTCTTGTATTCATTAATTAAAGTCTTGTATTCATTAATTAGCTAAAGAGAGTCAATGCCAAAATAAAATGTGTTTAGGTTTCTCTTGTTATTTAGAAAAATAAAATATAGGTCATCTTTATAGAACCTGGAGATGGTTTTGTGTTATCATAACAATGCCACAGACAAAAATCAACTAAGTAATTTACTTTTTAATTAAATATGATAGTCCCCACTCCCACATGTGATTTCATCTCTGAACCTAAATCTGTATTCCTGAAAAACAGCAATGAAATGTACAGATGTTAATCAACATTTGAAACCAAGATGCCTTTGCTGCCAAATAAGCACACAGTAAAAGTGAGCAAAGGCATAACTAATAGATTGCAACCAAAAGAGAATATGAACATATTCTGTGGGGCATAAATAGCGTGTAAAAATGAATTATACAAGGAGAAACCATAGAGAACCTTCTTTGAAGACCTATGTAAAAGGAAAGCAGAAATATTTTAGTTAATACCTTTCACAAGAAAAAATTGTCACTTGGAGTTTTAGCCTTCCTCCTCCTCTGAGTTAAATCCAAACACACCCTCTGAGATTCAGCAACTCCTGAGGCTCTCCTCAACCCCAGCCAAACTACTGCTACTAAATACAGAGCTAAAATCAAAAAACATTTTAAAGAAACAGTATCTGTGAATCAAGCGTGCATCTATTCTGTTTAGATTAATCACATTTAGAAGCGGTATTAATTTGTCGTGAACAAAGCCACTGAGAAGCTTGCAAGGCAAGTGAAATAGGTCTTCTACGAGCCGAATATTTCTACAGCACAAGACTCTTCACAAAACTGAAATGATGCTAAACACTCGTTTACTGTTTTTCCATTATGGCTATCACGTTTACATATAAACAGCCTAGATATTATTCCTAGAGGATTAAAAAAACCCCAGACTTACTCAAAAAACAGTTTTCACCAGAAACCCAATTTGACAGTCAGTGGAAGCTCTTGCATTCTTAGAGCAGCAACTTGCTTTTCTCAGGAAAACCAACCGTACTTGTAAAGTACCTGCAATTTTGTCTTAAATACCTGATGAATCATTTTCGCTGGGAGAAGTCACAAAACATACTCAGGATACATCTGAATAAACTGATACTCCCATTACACTTGCAAATCTGCTCCATTTCACAGATGGGCACAGGGAAAGAATAAAGAGCGCAGGAAGGAAAATTTCTTCCTAGAAAAACAAGTTTCCATGTAGAAAGCTGGCTGCACCATTACCCCAGTCCTCAGCTTGTCAGACAGCCTGCTCACATCTCACAGGGAAGCAGCTACTCATGCAAAGAAAGAAACCAGTTTTCCAATTTCTATAGATATTTAAGACTCTCTAGATGCAAACAAATGCTTAAGGGGATTTTCAAGAGTGAGGTAACTAAAACCATGTTACCGGTCACTCCAATGTGCCTTAAAGCTTGGTCCAAGATTAGAACTATTCTTGTGGAAAACCCGAGAAATTCCAGTAACTTACATATTTTACCGAATGAAAACAAACTCCCATTTGTTAAATTCAAAGCTGGTTTCGGTTGTGCTGATGCTTCACCACACGACAGCCTCACAGATGCGACCACCCCCACATCGAATGCAGCTTCCAACAGGATGATTTCCCTGTGATGCTGCACAGCGCTCTGGACAGCTGTGCAATACTCCATACGCTGTGGCATGTGTCTACACAAAAAGCATCTCCCACTTCAGGCAAACATCACAACGGATTGTCTCCCTTACCTCACATCCTCCAGTGGGTTCCCATAGGGTACAACGAACTCCTAGTTTATTTCCAAACCAAGCGTCAGACGACGACTCTCACTGCTACTCACACCCGCCTGGTGCAACCAGAGGTCTAATAAAGCTCTGCAGCTTCAGCAAGAGGACCAAGCTATTCGTTGAAAACCACCACATTTTACATTGTCTCCCATGCAGTTTTGGATCTCCAAATTAGAGGTTACATCTCCAAATTAGAAAATAGAGAGACAGATTTTCTTTTCATTTAATCCTACTTGGATTAATCCTACAGTGAAGGTCTACTGTTACTTGCAAATTACCTTTTCCCCTCCACCCCAAGCAAGAAGGTTGTATCTACTTACATCATCCTGAATATCCAGGTCACAACCTGCCTTCAACAGGACCTGGACAACGTGGAGATGACCCTTGTGGGCAGCAAGATGCAAGGGGGTCCGGCCATGCTGTGAATGAGAAGAAAACAGTAATACCTTAAGATGAATTTTTACATGTGGTAGTTGACAAGAACTTTA